ATTTTTAATCATTCACACCTATTAGGAGGATAGTCTTCCAAACCAAGTCACCTTGGCCGAAGGTTTTGGCCCTAACACGCTTATTATATGCCCTTGCTACTCGCGTCTTTTGAACTTGTATATGGTCAAGAGCCCTTAACCTCACCTCATCTAGGTCTTCCAATTCGATCAACATAGATTTATTGTATTCTGCAGAAGTCAAATTGTTTTGCAATGCAAATCTCATTGACTGCACAGTCACTTCCATAGGCAAAACTGCATCATGACCATAAGTGAGCATGAATGGAGTTACACCTGTGCTTGACCGTTGAGAAGTCCTGTATGCCCAAAGTGCTTCTGATAACAGTTCATGCCATACCCTGGGGTTATCTTCCACCATTTTTTCAATGATGCCTTTTAGCGTCTTATTAGACGACTCAACTTAACCATTTCCTTGTGCAAAGTGCGGGGTTGAGTTTAGGAGCTTGATCCCGTACTCTGCTATAAATACCTGTACTTCTTTGGCAATGAGGGCTGAACCTTGATCAGTTGTGATCCCAAATCTATGAATAATATGTTGCTTGATAAACCGAATCACATCTTCATGGTGCATTGACTTCATATGCACCGTCTTAACCTATTTGGTAAAGCAGTCAGTTGCCACGATGATAAAACAATGTTGTTTAGAAGAAGGTGGATAAACTTTCCCTATCAAATCGATAGCCCAGCCTCTAAAATGCCATAGTTTTATGATTGGATGTAACTCAATCGCTGGGGCCCTATGGATTGGCCCATGCCTTTGACATGCTTAACATCCTTTGGCATATGTGACGCAATCTTTAAGCATCTCGGGCCAGTAATAAGCATACCTTCTAATCAGCCACTTCATTTTTATTCCAGCCTGGTGAGCACCACATATCCCTTCGTGGGCCTCTCCTATTACTTTCATGGCTTTTTTCTCACTGACACACCTTAAAAGTAGGTCATCTTTGATGTTTTTCCTGAATAGGTCTCCATCAATCATCAAAAACTTAAGAGCTTTGATATTTAGCTTCCTGTCAGCCTTAAGGTTTGGATTTTTGAGAAATTTGACAATTGGTGTCCTTCAATCATCCTTCTCCATATCCTCGATTACAAAGACCTCCGCCAACAATTCTTCCCCCACCTTGACTGAGGGTAGTGATCTTTTCTTTATTCTGATCAAAATCTCCATTATACCTTCTAGCACCCTGACGCCAGATGCTATTTGAGCCAAATCATTAGCCTATTTGTTATGCAATCTATATGTATACTTGACCTTTACGTCTGAAAATTCTTGTAGTAATAACTTTGGCACTTGAAATTGCTGGACAACTGACCGATCACTAAACTTGACTCACTTATGATCTCAACGGTTTGTGCCCCCATTTCTAAGAGTATTTCAAGACCGATAATTAGAGCTTCATATTCTGCTTGATTGTTAGAACATTTGAAGTCTAGGAAGAAAGAATATGTTATTTTCCTTCCATTTGGTGCAATTATTACAACTCCGGCTCCTCTAACATCATTTTCGCTTGATCCGTCAAAAATTAGAGTCCAAGGAGTTAGTTGAATAGCACACAACTCCATTGCATCATAGACTCCCGAATCTACATCCAAGCATGGATGGTCTAATAGGAAATCAGCAAGTGCTTGTCCCTTTACAGCGCTTTAAGGCACATATTGGAAACTGAATTTCATAAAGGCCAAAGACCACTTACCTATTCGTCTAGAAATTATTGGACGAGAAAGCATATACTTAATTAGGTCAGTGGCACAAATCACATAAACTAAAACAGGTAGCATATATATTCTCAATTTGTGAGCAGTAAAATACAAAGCAAGACACATTTTTTTGATTGGCGTATATCGACGCTCAACCGGTATCAAAATACGACTAAAGTAATACACTGCCTGTTCTTTCCCTACTTCATTATCTTAGGCTAACAAATTTCTGATTGACTCATCCATGGCTGAAATATACAACTTCAGCAGCTGTTTCTTCCTAAGTGGCATGAGGACAGGAGGGTTAGCAAGATATTCCTTGATTGATTCAAACACATGTTGGTGATGCTTTTCCCATTGAAAGTCTTCCTCTGATTTGAGCTTTAAAAGTGGAGAAAAGGTATGGATCTTCCCAACACGGTTTGAAATAAACCTTCCCAAGTATGTGATTTGACCAATTAGTCTTTGTAACTCCTTCTTGTTGCGAGGTGGTTGAGCTTCGATGATTGCCCTAGCTTTATTCTTGTCGACCTCGATACCCCTCTGATGCACCAAGAATCCCAGAAAGTTCCCTGCTGTCACTCCAAAGGCACATTTAAGTGCGTTTATCTTCAAACCATGAGCTCTCTTTCTCTCGAATGATCTCCTCAAGTCTGCCAGATGCTTCGCCTTTGTCGCTAATTTTACCACCAGGTCATCAATTATACACTTTTATAAATTTCTCAATTATCTCATGGAAGATTACATTCATAGCTCGTTGATAAGTGGCTCCAGCATTCTTTAAACCAAAGGGCATTACCACCCATTCGAAAGTGCCTATGGCTCTTAGACATCTAAACGTCGTCTTGTTAACATCATCCTCTACTATAAATATCTGGTTATATCCTAAATGACCATCCATGAATGATAGAATCTCATTCTTGGCGGCTGCATCAATCAATTGATCGGCCATGAGCATCGGATACTCATCTTTTGGAGTAGCTAAATTCAAATTCCTGAAGTCTACGCACACCCTTATCTTTCCATTCTTCTTGACTACGGGAACAATATTGGATAGCCAATTGCAATACCTTGTGGTCCGGATGAATCCTGCCTTGAGCAACCTTTCAATCTCTTCCTTTACTTTTATAGTGACTTCTGTCGATATACGTCTAGGCGCTTGCTTGAAAAGTCTAAAACCTTCTTTTATAAGTAGTCGATGCTCGACTAGTTGCCTTGGTAATCCAGGCATCTCAGTGTAATTTCAAGCAAAATAGTCCTTATATTCCCTAAGTAACAAGATCAGTTCAGCTTTAAAGTAAGGTTCTAGAAGATCACTTATGTAGGTTGGCCGAGGCTCTTCTTCTGATCCCAAATTGATCTCCAACAAAGGATCCTGAATATCGGCCTTCAGATCATCTAGCTTGGCTGGAGCTAAATCTTATTCTTCTAACTGAGTAACATCTCGACAATCCCCTGACTCATCTTCTTCTATGATTTCGGCTATATTAGCCGACATATCACTCCACACCTGTCTCTCAGCGAGATACGATCTTAGCCGTGCCATGCTAGCTTTAAATGCTAGCATTAAATGCTAGCATTTTCTCCTTCTCCTTTTGGGCTTGGTCCATTAACAACCTGTTGTTCATCAACTTCAACTATCGGCCTTCGCTTGCAGATAACACTTGGCCTCGATAGTTCCTTGAATAAATTAGATAAGTCCCCATCTATCAGATTTTTTCGCATCATTGCCTTCTCAGGCTTACCATACTTGTCGCAACCAATGAGCCTCACAGGACCCATTTCTAACTCATATAAAACTGCATTAGCCACATGGACTTGAGCTTTAAAAGGCTTATTGTCTCCCCATATGACTTGGATTTCATCCCTGTCCCAGAAAATTATGAACTTGTGGAGGGTAGAAGGGATGTAAAAATGTAGGTGTAACCAGTCACGCCCAATCAAAGCGTTGTAAGCCACCCCTGCGTCGACCACGAAGAATATAGTCATAGTCTTACATTTTCCAACTGTCATTTCCAAGGTAACCACAATTCTAGTCCTAGCTTTGCCCCTCGTGAAATTACTGACTGTCAAGTCAGTGGGAATCAAGTCATTTTCTATTTTTTGCAGCAACCTCATGGTGTTCGTCGGAAGGATATTAATCGCAGATCCATTATCTATTAGTGCTCGAGACACTGGTATCCCTTCTTGGAACACCCTGATATAGAATGGTTATAAATGTTGAGACATTACCACAGAAGGCTTCTCAAAGATCACCTTGGCTACCTGATCTCTTCCAATAGTCACCGACTCATCATCTCGTGGTTTAGCTCTTATCACAATGACTTTCTGTTTCTTATCTTCGGTGATCGACTCAGATAGGTTTTCGATAATCTCTGGAACTTCTTGGCCTTCATCATCGATCACCTCAACATCTCCCTCCATGGTGGAAGGTTGATCAGGCTTAGCCTCAAAAATATGAGGTAAAGTAAGAACCATGTTGCAATTCACAATTCCTTCAAACGAACCAAATTTGATACCTTTTGAACCATCATCTTGGTCATCCAGGTCGAGTTCATCATCACCAAATCCTGCTTCATCTTCAGTTTCTTTCATAGCTGAAGACACATTTCTCTTCTGTGCCTCCATTTCCATCTGCACTATCTTCTATAGATTTTCCTTTCGGATCATTTTTTGAATCTTGCTTAGCAGGCTCTCTCCTAAGCAAAGTCACCTTCTCTGGCTGTAGAGCTAAATATTTCTCTTCCATTCTTCTTAGTTCGGTTTTCATCCACTGCCAACGTCTCACCTGAGTGCGAGACATGAATGCTGGTGGGATATCCTTGACCCTAAAGAACTTTGGATGAATCACCATTGACCATCGACCATCGTCAGTGGCTGGTGGCTTGACCATCCTTTGCCTATGGTTTGGGTGGTTAACTGATGTCTCAACCTAGCGAGCCACATTTGAGTTATGCTCGCTAGGCTTCCAGACAACATGAGTTGGATTCCTTGCACGATTATTGGAGTTTATTTCTCGCCTTCGCTTATGATACTCATTGGTATTAGACCTTCTGTCAGGCCATGTTAATCGGCTAGTCACAGGCACCCTAAACGAGGGTGACCTAGGTCTGTTTTCATGACGTGAACTTCCAAGACGTCCCCGAGTGTCACCATGGAACCTCTCTCGGTCCCTTCCAATGTTTGTCTTGCACTTAGGGCACAATCCTTGCCTGATCAGCGCCAGTTGAGCTTCCCTCAACTCTTTTTCTAAGTCATCCTTAGACCTTGGAGTTTCCTCAATCATTTGGCTTCTTTCCTTCAGCCTTGCTTTCTTTGTTAGTTGAAGTATCCTCAAAATCAATTCTTCTCCGTGGCCTGCTAGCTATTGAGATTTCGACCATGTTACTGCTGACCAAGGCTGGGAATGGATCGCTGTCAATGCTCATCACTTCTTTCTTCTTCTCCGGAAACTTCCATGCCCCCTTCTCGATCTGTGCCCGAATCACATTACGAAAGACAACACAATTATTAGTTGCATGATTCCAGGAGTTATGATATTTGCAATACTCTCGACCTTTGATCTCGTCAGCTGAGGGTATTTTATGCACCCTAGTGACTTTGATAATTTTATCAGACAACAGGTGGTCAAAGATTTGCTCTGCTTTACTTATATCGAAAGCATATTGTTTGCCAGCCTCAAAGATATTCCTTTTGGCTGCAGATGATGAGGGTTGGACACCACTAACGGTCTCTATGGCTTAGCTAAAGCTTTACAAACATATGGCTTTTTTGAAATAATCTCAACAATATCGACCTTTAGGTCATTATACACTGTGTTAACCATGTGAATTTCGTAATTGGGGTCCTTATAATAGGTCCCTCGAGAGGAGTTTTTCCTCTCGTTTTCCTCTCGCAGAATTTTTTCATACTTAGTGACCCTATCGGCTAATTGGAATAAATCTCCAAAATGAGTACCCTCGAACTTCTTTCGTAGTTAGAATTCTAAGCCGTTAAGAGCCAAGTTGACAAACTCTTCTTCAGGTAAAAGAAGTTGGCACCTATTTCGTGCTTTCTTAAACCTAGCCAAAAATGTCTTAACATCATCATTTGGCAACTGATGGATCCTAGATAGGTCAGACATAGAAACTTCTGGTTTTGTCCAATAGAACTGATCATGGAACACATCCTGCATTTGTTCCCAAGTGTGGATGGAATTTTGTGGCAAGTTTAGATACCACTTGAAGGCAGTCTCAGTGAGAGTGTTGGAGAATAACTTCATTTTATACCAATCGTTATTACTGAGTGGCCCACATTTTAATGTGAAATGGCCAATGTGCTCAAGAGTCGATTGGTTGCCTTCTCCTAAGAAGGTTGCAAAGTTTGGCACTCGAAAATTTTGGGGAAGATCCATCCGATCTATCCAATCAAGAAATGGGTGCCTGAAAGTAGGTCGAGTAGCCGTTTTCAAGGCTAGTCCATACTATTCTTGTATGACCTCAGCCAATTGCTCCCTCGTCATGACCATAGGTGGGGCTTGGTTCTGAAAAGGAACATGCTGCCAAGGGTTATGTCCCTCTTGCCCACCTGGGTTCGTAGCTTGAGGTGGCAAGACTTAATGTTGAAAATGAGGAGGTCGACCATTAATTCCTCCATCTTGGTTGTTGGTGACCATTCATTCCTGACTCTACTGGATAGACTTATGGTAGAATTGGAGCTACTGGTCGAGGATCATTAACCATGGGAGGTGGCTGGGCACCTCTTTCTGGTTGACCAACTTATTGAGGAGGAAACTGGTCCACTGGTTTATCATTTTGGTTTTCTAACCTAGGCGGCTGAGCAATAACCTGCCTATCAATACGAGTCACTAAGGCATTAATCACTTCATTCAACTGTTGGAGCTAAGTATTAGTCATATGGGATGAAGCCACCAGTGGCTCTATATTTTTGTTGATTTCCCAAATGACCTGGCGTTGGGAAGCCTCCACTTTACTTTCAAATCGTGTCACCATATTGCTGACATTTTCAGCCGCCATTTGGTGGCTGGCCTGATGTCCCTCCTCATGCTTAGACCCAGAATCTTGCATAATGGGAGCAGGATGATTTTCTTCCTGATCTTCCCTTTGAGGGTTAGCTTGTCCAGCTAAAGTTTGAGTCTATGACCTAGTCTCGATGACCATTCACGAATAAAACATTGGTTCCACCGGGCGTGCCAAAGTTGTTTGGCTCACGAAATGGTCTGAGGTCGCTAGCCAATGAATAGCTGACCTAGAACGAGAACGTGCCAGACTCCTGATGGACTCGAATATTTCTTGCCAAACTATTCCTATTGGGTTGGGTCACCGACCTAAGGTGACTCAGGCGAAAGTTGGAGAGTAGGAATGACCGTCTCCTTAAGGTTACTATTGCCTTTAAGAAAGGACTTTAAACATCTAAGATGAATATTAATTAGAAGCAACTTAAACTGAACAATAAATTTACCTGAATTTGCAAACCTTTCTTCATTGAACTTGACTGATTACAATGATGAATGAATTATAAACTCTTGATTGAAATGGAAACTAAAGTATTGAATGCTGAAAGATGGACTAAGTACTAAACTGATAGTGCTAAACGGAACTTGCTGAAATAAAAGCTAAGTGCTAAACTGAGCTTGATGAAATAAAAGCTAAGTGCTAAGTGATATGAATGCTAAAGGTTGAACTTTAGAAATGGTCTTGGACCCCTTCCTTGTGAGGCTTGAGTGGGTATTTATAGAGGCTTCCACCTGGTGTTGTCCCTTTCATCCGTTTCTCTAGAAATTGATTGGTTGTAAGCTGAAAGTGACTTTTCCTAACCACCTTGCTGAGCTGGTCAGGTTGACTGACTTGCACATCCTTCTATAGGTAGATACAAGTATGTCTGACATAGTATTTTTGATTAAATGGTGCCTTTTCTTTCATGTTTAATGATTTTGGTCTTCAAACCATTTTCAGCTCTCTGCACCTGTCATGTCTGGCTTGATTTGTACATTGGCCTGGAGTCATCTGATTATTGACAATTCTGACTTTCCTCATCAGATGTAGGTGAGAACCTTCCATCTGTAGTTCTGGATTTCTGATATTGTCAAGTTGTCCTTTTCTATTTCAAGCTCTTTTCACGTTTTGTAATACCCCTAGTTTTAAAAGGGCTATAATTGGAATTTTATTATTTTTATTATTTATTTTATTATTTTTGTAGGTGTTTTGGGTGAATTTAAATGTTTATTAATTAAAATTATTTGTTTTAGTGTTAGTTTATATTTTAAATTGATTATTTGTTTTAGTGTTATTTTATGATTTAAATGGATTATTTTTTTAGTGTTAATTTATATTTAAATTGATTTAATGGTTTAGGTGGATTTTTTTGAATTAATTAAATTGTTTAATTAGATTATTCTATTTATTGTTCACTATTGTAAAATTAGGTTAGGATTTTGGTTACATTGTTATACCCTGTAGCCGACTTGGATTTTCCTGCACGTATTAGGATTAGGTTTAGGGTAAAACTTGTGTGCCTATAAATAGATACGTTAGGGTTCTGCCTAGGGTTTTTAAAACCCTATTCACGATTTAGAAAAGGCAGATAATAGCTTGGAGGAGTCTGGGAAGCTACAGAGAGGGAAGAAACAGAGAGTTGGCCGGAGACTCTAGGACAACGTCAGTGTAAGGCAAGTTCTAACCTCACTCTTTCCCTTTTTCTCGTGTTCTTTGCATGTTTAACGCAACTCTAGGAACGGATAAGGATTTAAAAGTAAACTGATTTTCGTATATCTCTGTTGTTTGAAAACTGAATGTAGCCATATGTTATACTTCTTGCTATATGATCTTTCATGTTTAACTCATAAACTAATTCACAGAATTGGATGTATAATGCGTGTGAATTGATATAAACAGAGTTAAATCATCTTGTTTGGAGGCGGCTCTGGATGATCTTGGAGACGACTCCATGGAATCATGGAGCTGGCTCTAGATGGTCTTGGAGACAACTCCAAGTGGGTTGGAGCCGGCTCCATCTTGTTTGAAGTCCGCTCTAACTTGCTTAGAGACGTCTCCTTTGTGTTTGTTTTAGTTTTGGTTGTTTTTGCGAGTTCTGGACTGCTGCAAATGGTTTTTTAAAATTTCAGATTGATGTAGAGGTTGTTCTGGGGTTGTTCAGTAATGTCTAAACCCTTAATAAAGCTTCAGAAGGCATGGTAAGACTTAAAATACCTTAGCAAGCTAGTGTAGAAGACAGTGGGAAATTATACTGAAAGTGAGGGTTGGCTTCTGGACTGGTTCTTGATAGCAGATGTGTTTAGGAGCTGTAAATGAGAAAGTTGGTTGATACCTGAGATTAATTTAGATCTTCAGAGGGCATGTTAATGCATAATTAACCAATTAATGTCATCGTTTGGAACAGTATATAGTTTCTAAGTAGATTAGTGGACTGTTTTGGATTAAGGGTTTAAATTGCACAGTTTAGTGTGTAACAGTTAACTGTGAATGGAGTTATGGTTTGGTTATGGTTTAGAATGAGTTGTAAGCATGTTAGATCACAGAATGATTGTATACCTATAATAAATCAAGAATGTATAAATACATTAACTGTTTCAATGGCTCTAAACAACTGTATAGTATTAAAAGGGAAGCCTGTAGGTTTATATACTGTGTTACGCTTAATTGGATTTAATTAAAAGTTATATATATGATTGGTATTATAAATCATGGAACTGTGTGGAGTAGTGTTAAATAGGCTTGTTAAATAACAAAGTTTTAGCATGTTTAATGTAAAGCAGTTGATGTTTACAAAATGATTGACTATCGATTGTTGGATATACGATATAGTTGATAACTACATTTATTACTTGGGTTGTTAACTATGGATGTCGGATCACATGCACCGGTATGGGACGGTGGCATGCCTAGGTTTGGATTAGTTTCAAAATACTAAATCCTACCTACACGGAATAAGGGAATGGATTCTAAAGAAAATCCTACTTATACTTAAGTCAAAGAAACTGAACAAACTGAATGACTAACCGGATTACTTGCTATCTATGTTAAGTCAAAGAAGCTGCACAAGCTGAATGACTAACTGGATTCTTTATGGATAGTTAAGATCGGACTTTAAATATATTTTTATGGTACTGCGATCTGAGCTTGAGTCTCAGAGTCATCGGTTAGGGAGAGTATATGCAATAGGATGCGTAGCTGGATATGAGAGGTTGAGGTGTACCCTGTTAGGTCTAGGTACTCATGCCTACCTTTGGTTGCGTTTTTGCATGTTGCCTTCTATTCAGGTTGAGACCACCTCCATAGTCTAGTGAGAGTCATATAGTGTGGATATACTTGTATGGACTATTAGCTATTGTTGAGTTGCTTAGAATGTATATGCGTATCAAGTCTCTGTTTGGATTGTAGTAGGTTAGAACTTGTTCGTGGGCCTGACCCACTTCTATTTTTCAGATACTCGACAGTTCCAGACTTAGACTTGATCGTGCTGAGCAGAGACTACTACTCACTCTTCCGATGACGTAGGACTTTTCTCCATGGTTTACTCTGGTTGTTCTTTAAGTAGCTTTCATTTTAGAGATGGATTCCCGAGTTGTATTAGAATTGAAGAAGTTGGATGTAACAGACTAATACTTTATTTATAAAATTTTAGTTCTGAGGTTTTCAGTTTTAGATTATCATTCAAGTTTCTTTCCAGCAGTTTTATTCATTCCCGTTTCTCTTAATAATTTTTCTGTGTTTGTTTATTGCTAATTGGTTTGATATCCTCGGATAATCGAGCGAGGTCCTGGCCAACCCGCATCTGGAAATCTGGGGGTATCACACGTTTCCAGACCTAACTTGTTGGGTTCTTGAATCATTGAGATTCACAATCGGTCTTCATTTAAATTACCCTAAAGATTCCTCAAGTGATTATGACTCGAGACCACTGATCATGACCATATTTGGTCATGAGTCTTGATCATGGCCATAATGATTAAAAATCTTGGTTAAGATTCATGATTATGACCATTATGACCGAGAGTCTTATGATCATTGTGACCAAGAGAAATAACGGTCGAGACTCTTAATCATGGCTGGTTATGAGTCTTTGGAGAGATTTTGGATCCTGACCATTATGACTGAGAGTCTCATGACCATGACCGATGTGACTGAGAGTATTTTGGCCTAAACTCATGACCATGAGACTGAGACTCTCATAACCATAGTGACTGATAGGATTTTGACTGAAAATTCATTATCATGACCATTAAGAGAAATTTGGCTAAAA